TTCTCAATTCCATTGAAAATCATCTTTTCTTCCTCCTTCACTTCTGTACAAACTTTCCAGAGAGTAAACACATAAAGCAAATGCGCTAGAATTCTATAATCCAGTGCGAGTTGTAGAATTAGGTAGTTATATCTTAGTTGAGTAGACGTTATAGAACCACAAACATAAGAGTGAGATGTAAATACTGTTCGAAGGACATATCTTCTGCGCTAGCCTCTACCTTTGATTCATTAAAGTTAGTATCATTATAATTTTTGTATTTATTGTGTAATTTCATTCTGTATTGCAAGTATTTTTTTAGTAATAAAGTATAAGAATTTCAAGTTCTGTATTTCTGTTATATTGTTTCTAAATTGTTCTCCAGCAACCCCAGCTGAAACCCCAAGTGGGTACTGCTCCATTTTCCCTTGGCTTTCGAGCTCCCCCGCCCGCCATGGGAGCCAAAAACTTGACCAATTCCTTAAATATCATGATCTTGATCTCTCCCCTCCTGGGAGGGAGCCTTCGATTTCGACTGTGCTTGGACTTGGAAGCTGGGATTTCCAGTTTTTTCGAATTCGCCATGATGAATTTGAAGGGTGAGGACAAAAAGAGAGAGGGGATGAACAAAAAGAGAATTTTCTTCGACGGAAAAGAAAGAGAGTGAATTGTAACAAAGTGAATGTGCTTTGGATGCGCTGAGGATAATGAGCGGATGCGAGATTAGAGTGATGACTTTATAGAGGCATTTTGCATTTTGTTGCAAAAGACTTAGCTTGCTCACTGAGAACGTCTGGAAGCATATGTGGAGTCTGTAGATAAAACTGCTCAAGTACATAAAACTCCGCAATCATGTTATTTTTCGTATGCCCGTAAAGAACATGTTCTTTTTAAATTTTATGTTGGCAGCCTATTTGAAGAAAAAAAATGAGGTCACAAGAGTGACTTTTGTAGATGGAGCCGTTTTGAACCAGATTGGTTGTTCAATGTTTAACATATGATGTATGCATTTTATTTGAATTTAATAAAAGTTCTATCGTTTGAAAAAATAAATAAATAACTGGAAAAGTTGCATGTTTTATCAATAGAGTTTGCGACGCTAGTCAAAAGATGAATATTTTATGTAATAGAATTTGTTGGGCGTTTAAATATGAAGATAGAAAATCTTCCTAATTACCTAGTTTCTCTTTTGTTGTTGGAGTCTTTAACTAGGCACCACACTAATAAGGCATCATTTTGTCACCTAAATGTCAAACGAATTAAAATATCATATCGTAGGATTGAAGGGGCCCACTCTTATTTATTTATTTATTTATTTTTAACATAAATATTATTGATTCAAAACATGAATAATTTTGATCATAAGCACAAAACTCTGTGATTAAAACACTAAGAGTTTTGAGTAGGAGTTCCTACTCATCTTTGAGTAGTATTGTTTTTTATATAACTCTTTTGACGTTCCATATTTGGTTGGATAAATATCTCTTGTCAATGTACGAGATTTCTGACTAGTGGTAAATGGCAGATTACGAGACTTCCTTAAAACTAAAAACTAGAGGTCTTGGGTTCGAAACCCGTTACTGGTGTGGATGCCAAATTTGTGGTTAGGAGAGGCTGAAATGCCTATGTGAGTCTTTCTAGCCCCCGAAAATGATGAATAACCATAACTTGCCACCAATTGTTTTCATTTTTAAAGGAAAAAAAAATACGAGACTTGTAATAAAAGAAATGTCAATACACACATAGGATTAATTAGTCAATCCTTCACACTATTATATAACGTTGGGCTTTAATTGAATTTCGGATAACAATAACGTTGGACTTTAATTGAATTTCTTCCTCCCACATCATTATTTTCTACTCCTACATACCGCAACGTGCACGTTCCATGTACACAAGTCCCTTTAGAGGGAGACTAATTTGTTTGGGAACAATTACAATTGGCAGTGTAATTTTGACTTGTATTGTGTCACATGATTATTGTCGCTCATTCACAATGTAATTAGTTGTTGCTAATACGCGCATGATCGATTATCGTTACAAGCAAAACAACATGATTAGATCCAAACAACATGGCTAGATCCCATAACTCCTAATATATGGAGGAATGGGATCCCTATTCAACTTCATGTGATGCAAGCATATTGTGATGCCTCCTCCCTGTGATGTTTTTTCTTTTCTTTTACAAGAAACAATAGCGTTATTTCATTGATCATCATAAACAAATACAAGGGTGCTAATTGGGTACATTCCTTCAGTGACCAATACATTGATTTGGAGTGAATTTGTACAAACAAGCGATTAATTAAAACCTTTACACGACTACCACAAGCAAGGTGCACCAATACAAATTTATCACAAAAACGATAAACGCAACAAACCAATACTAGTGTAGTGGGTCACTGCATGACATATGCGACACATAAGCATCGATCATTCCCTAATTTTCTTCCAGAAGGATAATGAAAGTGACAAATAATTAAAGAGAGAGTTGCTTATTCTAATCTGATGGTTAGCATTAGCTAATAAATCATTTGATTGGCTTATTTAATTAAGAGGACGACCCTTCAAAATTAAATTAAATTTCAACCGTATTACAAACTAAAGCCTTGGTGATAAGACAAATTCTTCATTAAGAAATTCGCATAAAGATTTAGAAAGTACACCAAAACGAAAATTAAAATGAAGCAATTTTCGTATAGAGAGCAATCAAACTAGCGAACTCTTCCATAAAGAGAGAAATCCGAACCAAACTCCAAGACAGATCTTGGATATTATTAAATAGAAACAAATTAAAAGGATAAAACCATGTCGCCGCTCTACATATTCCGGACATTTGAGAGCTATAGCACCGTACCAGCTAAACCCATAGTGTCGTACTAGGTAAACTCGATCCCAACACAATCCGAAGTCTTCCATGGCTTCCAGCTTCAACCCCATATTGAATGTGATAACTAGATCTAGACTCTTGTGTTTACTACGTGCGTGGGCCAGAAGACAACGATTATCATGACGATTATAATGTTTACGATGACAATTCTACACCAAAACAAAGTAAATGGAAAGGGAGAGAGGAAAAATACCAAAAATAATTGTCAAGATGATTTCCACCAACTTCAAAGCCAAAACAAGGAGGCGGTGATAGATAATTTTTCTTTGATTTTTGCTTTAGACGTCTAGGGTTTTTATGTATGTTTTTTGTTTGGTAAATAAGCCTAGGAAAAAAAATAACAAACAATCTAAGCAATTGTTAACACTTGAGTTTTATCCATATACCTTAATTTATATCAATCACCAAGCATCATTAAGCACCCCTTGGAATTTGGAGGGCAATTAATGTGAAGTTTGAACCGAAGCAAACATTTCCAAACGACTTCAAATTTTAGCTTTGCCTATATTAGCAGCCTAATGTGTCTTCATACTTTCTCAATCTTTGTCACACAACAATTAGACGCGTAGTCCAAAAGCCATTGACTAATCACGAATTGAATACAAGTTCTTTAGTCGAAAATCCATTGACTAATCAACCACTTGAATACAATTTCTTCTTAATCGTTGCCTAAAAAGACAATGTTATAATCTAAAATAATTCCTTAATTACAATCCATCAAACTGTGATGGGTGACACCCTTGATGACTCGTTCGGTCTCGATGAGTCATATGTCATGTGTAAGATTTGTGAGACACATGGCGCATGCATGCCACGTAAGTCGTGAATATCAAAATTTAATGTGTTGGTGAGTATTTACATGTCTATGTTAAACTTTGAGCTTTTTCAAGTATCTAATAATTTGACAAACATTTTTTGTGCCTACAACCAACTTTCCCTACAAAAAAATTTGGAAGAAATGATTAGAAAGCGACCACCAAGACATAACTAGTTGGATAATTGTGTACAATAAGATCCCATTGATTTCCTCAATTAACTTAGAAGGTGTCCAAATTATACTAATCGTTTTGTTAATCACCTTATCCTAAAACGCGCTAAAATTCCCGTATATATAGAATAAAAGGAAAATAAGTTCCGACCAAATCAAAATTGAATTGAGCAGAAGAAGTAGCAACTACCAAATACCAACTAGTCAAAGTACGTAAGACTTAGATTCCTCTAATCTTATCCATGTGCTGAGTGGGAGTTGGAAATGGATGTAAGTATTGAAGTTACTTTGCACGATGTGCATCAAAATTGGGGTGTTTCGAGTTCCCTTACGTGCAATTGTAATGAAGTGGCTCACTCAATAATTTTCTTTGTTACTTTTTAATTTTCTCGGTCTAGATTTTAACGTTTTTATTAAAATTTAATAAATTCATAGTATTGGCCCAGAGAAAAATTAAGAAAGTTAAATAAACAAGGGGCTTTTAGCATCAAACCCCCAAAAAGCAAACACTTTTCGCAATCGAACCCCATTTATAAGGAAATGATATCAGCATGTCATTTTTCACTTTCTGCATATCTTGTTTAGTTTTGACGCTTGATCATTCAATTTAACATTGAAAATAAATAAATGCAGGCAATGAGAGAAAAGTTGAGTCTTGAAGGCACTTTGCCTATATTATATTTAGTCCACCCATTTGTTTGGGCACTTAACAATAATCCTTCAATTTATGAACCAAAAATTATTTATAATCACTATTTTAAGCCTAAAAAGACAGAATTATTATGGTAGGTGTATTAACTATATCTTTAACAATTTTAGGGTAAGGAAAATTAGAGCATCATCAATTACCCATTACACAAGCTGGTAGATTACATATTATAATATAAATGGTGACATAAGATATTTTTGTACCGTATCGTCACTTATTATAACACATATTGTAATGTCTTATATTTTGTGTACGTTGAAAAATGTCTTAATGAGACCAGTCAAAGTAACCAAAAACCACTTTGTACCCAAAAACGTGCTGTTCTTTTACTGAAATTAATAAGATGGAATAAGTAAATGATTGGCAAGAGAGGGACGAAAAAACACAAAATTAATGCTCAAATCCAACTCCCAACGCACCAAGCAACACAGATCTGGCAATAAAATTGGAAAGTAAATTATTATATTTGAACAAAATGGTACATTGAAAACACATAAAATTACAAAGCTGAAAAACAACCACTTGTTCTAAATCACTGTAATACTAAACAAAAGCCTGAAGGCCTACATCACTTGTGCATCCTACGGGCACACACCAACACAGCAAACCCATTTCCCCAAATTTCTCTCTTAACCCGAACCTCAATCCCTCGTGTCCGAGAAATTCTAAGTATAAATTTCATGTCACGTCACTTGTATGCTCAAGACACACATTAAGAAAGATTCATGCATTTAGGTCTTCCAAAGTGGGTCTGTGTGGTACTGGTACCTGAATGCAATGAGGTCCCTCTTAGCGTGTCTTATGTAGGAGCAAGGATTGTCTGCCCTCCCATTTTCAGTACCCTCCTGTTTATGTGATCACGGTTAAGCCACGTCAACATTTTATATTACTATTTATTTTTGTCTTATTATCTCTATAAATAAATAATACAAAATGTTGATGTGATTTAACTGTGATCACACAAAACAAGAGAGTATAGGAAAACACCAAAAATGAGAGGGCAAACAATCCTCGTCCCTTATGTAGACGGGTGAGGCGGAACAGAATTCCTTACCCAAGAATCTCCGGTCATATCCCAAAACTCAGAGACAAAATAAATTTGAAAAATGAACAATACTATACTATACACAGTTAACAAGAACCTCAATTTTCAGAAAAGGAGGGATCAGGGGCCATCAGACCGAGCATCGGAGCAGTACCCACTTGGGGTTTCAGCTGGGGTTTGGGAGCCGGAGCTCAGGAACCCTCCATCTTCCCTCGGCTTTGGAGCTCCCCCGCCAGCCATGGGAGCCAAGAACTTGACCAATTCCTTGAATATCTTGGTCTTGATCTGCCCCCTCCTGGGAGGGAGGCTTCGATTTCGGTTGTGCTCGGAGTTGGAACCTGGGATTTCCAGTTTTTTCGAATTCGACATGATTAATTTGAAGGTGAGGACAAGAGCAGAAGAACAGAGGAAAACAGAGTTCTCTCTTTAGAGTCTAGAGAGAGGGGATGAAAAAAAAGAGAATTTTCTTCGACGGAAAAGAAAGAGAGTGAGTGGTGGTTTTATAGGCGTTTTGCATTTTGTTTAGGGTTCACATTTTTGGCGCAAAAGACTTAGCTTCCTCACTAAGATTTACCGTGTTTCAAGATGACGTGGCACTTTGGAGTGGCCGTGCCTCGAACTAGAACGTCCAGAAGCATTTGCGGAGGACGCAAACAAAACTCCCGCATTAATGCTATTTTTCGTATGCCCGTAAAGAACATATTCTTTTTAAATTTTATGTTGGCAGCCTATTTGAAGAAACAAATGAGGTCGCAAGAATGACTTTCATAGATGGAGTCATTTCGAACTAGATTGGTTGTTCAATGTTTTGGCATTTGATGGATACGTATCTTTTTGAATTTAATAAAATATTTTATCGTTTGAAAAAAAAATAACTGTAAAGATGAATATTTTATGTAATTAAATTTGTTGGCGTTTAAATATAAAAATAGAAAATTTTCCTAATTACCTCGTTTCTCTTTTGTCGTTGGAGTCGTAACTTTGCACCACGCTAACAAAGCATCATTTTGTCACCCAAATGTCAAGTGAATTAGAATAAAAAATATTATTCTTTCCATTTATTTGTATCATATATCTAATATAGATGTGACTTATATGTATTAATGGGCCCTATTTTCATTAGATAGATAATACAAATGATGGTACAAATAAACTGTAAGCGTAGTGTTACACAATTATAATAAGATCTTGTAGTGTGTTCGGTTGAGGAAATTGAAGATGATGGGATTTGGAAAGTTTATGGCATTTAGGAGTCATGGTGCATTTCTAGCTTAGAAATCATTTCTCAATTAGAAACAATTAGCCTCCATGCACGAGCTCACACGCGTGCAGAAGACATTTTTTAAATCATGGCGTTCTACACGCGATTTACATGTTTTAAATGTATTTATTAATGTAGATGGAAATGAATAATAAAATATTAATGAATAATAAATGCATTTAATAAAAGTGGTCTTTTAACTAATCAAAGCAGCTGAATCCATGTTAATAAAAGCGATCATTCAATTTGCATCTACATTTTATTGAATTTACATTAAGATTAGAAAAAATAATATTTAATAAACAACTAATTGCTAGCCCATTGTGAGGCTAAGCCCACTCCCTCCTCTTAGTGTAAATAGCATTGTTTGTTAAAAAAAAAAAATGATCATTTGACAACTAATTAAATCACATAGTTATGTGCGTGCGAGAGACTTTTTTATAACTGACACTATGCACCTCTTAAGTGTTTAAAATTGAGAAATAATATTTAACCCACGTGCAAAAGACATTTTTTGAATCACAACGCGCTACCAGTAACTTATACATTTTAAATGTATTTATATGCGTGAATTGCTTCAATGTTTTTTTAATTTCGTTATTTTCTTTTTTTATCATCGGCGCTATGTGTCACATCCCGGCCCGGGCGGGACCACTTCCCAGGCCCGACTCCACCACCGTAGCATGATATTGTCCGCTTTGGGCTTACCATTCCCTCACGGTTTTGTTTTTGGGAACTCACGAGCAACTTCCCAGTGGGTCACCCATCATGGGATTGCTCTAGCCTCCTTCTCGCTTAACTTCGGAGTTCCTACGGAACCCGAAGCCAGTGAGCTCCCAAAAGGCCTCGTGCTAGGTAAGGATGAAAATATACATATAAGGATCACTCCTCTGGGCTATGTGGGATGTCACAATCCACCCCCCTTAGGGGCCCGACGTCCTTGTCGGCACACCACGACCAGGGTTAGGCTCTGATACCAAATTGTCACATCCCGGCCCGGGGCGGATCACTTCTCGGGCCCGCTCCACCACCGTAGCACGATATTGTCCGCTTTGGGCTTACCATTCCCTCACAGTTTTGTTTTTGGGAGCTCACGAGCAATCTCCCAGTGGGTCACCCATCATGGGATTGCTCTAACCCCTTTCTCGCTTAACTTCGGAGTTCCTACGGAACCCGAAGCCAGTGAGCTCCCAAAAGGCCTTGTGCTAGGTAGGGATGTGAATATATATTTAAGGATCACTCCTCTGGGTGATGTGGGATGTCACAATCCACCCCCCTTAGGGGCTCGACGTTCTCGTCGGCACACCACGACCAGGGTAGGCTCTGATACCAAATTGTCACATCCCGGCCCGGGGCGGACCACTTCCCGGGCCCGACTCCACCACCGTAGCATGATATTGTTCGCTTTGGGCTTACCATTCCCTCACGGTTTTGTTTTTGGGAACTCACGAGCAACTTCCCAGTGGGTCACCCATCATGGGATTGTTCTAGCCCTCTTCTCGCTTAACTTCGGAGTTCCTACGGAACCCGAAGCCAGTGAGCTCCCAAAAGGCCTCGTGCTATGTAGAGATGGGAATATACATTTAAGGATCACTTCTCTGGGCGATGTGGGATGTCACACTATGCGCCTCTTAAGATGTTTTGAACACAACATTCATAATTTTTCTTATTTTTATTATATTTTTCTTCCCCCATCACATGGGCACCATCAACTTTGTCATTTGTTTATTCTTTTCTCTCTTCCCTTTTATTTATTTTTATTCTTTTCTCTCTTCCCATTTATATTTATATTATATGTTATGATGATCAAATTACCAAATTACCCTTGCATGATTTGGTATATTATTTTGGGCAGGTTTTGAATATTTTTGGCTAAGGGCCAGTTTGGTGTCCCCGGCTTCGATAATAGAATTGGACGAAACTACCCCTTAGCCAAAAAAATTCAAAACCTACCCAAAATAATATATCAAATCATGCAAGGGTAATTTGGTCATCATAAAATATAATTTAAATATAAATGGGAAGAGAGGAAAGAATAAAAAAAAATGAAAGGGAAGAGAGAAAAGAATAACAAATGACAAAGTTGATGGTGCCGATGAGGGAAGAAAAATATAATAAAAATAAGAAAAATCATGAATATTGTGTTCAAAACATCTTAAGAGGCACATAGCGCTAATGACAAAAAAGAAAATAAAGAAATTAAAAAAACGTTGAAGCAATTCTCGCATATAAATACATTTAAAATGTATAAGTCGTGCGTAGCGTGTTGTGATTCAAAAAATGTCTTTTGCACGCGGTTGTTTATTAAATATTATTTCTCAAATTTTAAACACTTAAGAGGTGCGTAGTGCCAGTTATAAAAAAAGTCACTCGCATGCGCATAATAATGTGATTCAATTAGTTGTCAAATGATTTTTTTTTTTTTAACAAACAATGTTATTTACACTATAATAATGCACTTGAATCAGATGGTACATATAGTATAAAAGCTTTCCACGTGGATAATAATGACCCAAAATATCATATGGTAGGATTGAAGGGGCGGGGTCCACTCTTATTAATTTATTTTTTAACATAAATATTATTGATTCAAAAGATGGCCATATGAATCTTTTGGGGCAATGACATTTTGAACGAGACATTAGACTGAAACATCACCACATGGATACTTATATTCATATATGTAATAACACGTAAATTGATTTTGTTCATTTTCCACCATAAAACTCTATAAACACATTGTTTACTTTTATATAATCACATATAAATTAGTTATGAACTCGTTTGGAAGTATTTTTAAAATGACTAAATGCGTTTTTAGAGAAAATATTTTTTAAATTCTAATTGCACTTGAAAGTGTTTGATACAAAAAGTACCAGTTATGTAGACTTCAACTATTTTTTCTCAATTAACTTGTATTTTTTTATCAATATTGATTCTAATCATATTTTTACAAAAAATGCTTTAGCTATTTTAAAAGCAGGAGCTCTCTATCACTTTTTTCAGCTCAGATAAACCAAACTTTTTACATTTTTCTTTCGTTATTAGTTATGAAAAAAAATTAAGCATCTACAAATAAACCATTGGAAACAAGTTAAACGTGTGGGCCTCTAAAGCATGTCATAAAACGCGGTATTGGAAATTTGGGATGTATTACGAAAGAAAGAGATGGATGGATGTCACAATTGTATTCTTAATTATTTTCATTTTTTATGTTAATTTGTTCCATGTAACAAGAAAATTTAGAGATTTGGAGAAGCAGTGGCAACCAATTTTAGTAATTTATTGGCCGGCAAGAAGAAAATTTACAATCAAACGCGTGTTGCAAATATATATAATATATATTATATATCATAATTTTGCATGCAGCTCTTGTGGTTCTAAATCACAAAGGGCAAAATGAATTTATTAGATGATCATGGAGATTTTATAAAAACTTAATCGCTCATGCGGTTTATGTAACTTCTCATTTTAATCTTTGAGATTTGAAATTTATAGAAGTGGTGCCTGAGTTTGTCCACCATCAATCATTTTGGTCATTCTATGAAAATTATCTATTAAATAAGGATAAAACGATAAAAAGAACCTCAATTTTTGACAAATCATTTTGGCGTAATGTTTATTAAATTGAGGTGGTGAAGCAGGAGGCAAAGAAAGTTGTGAGAGAAGCTAAGCTAGCGGCTTATGACGATATGTATAAGCGACTAGAATCAAAGAAGGAGAGTTGGATATCTAAAAACTCGCTAGAGTAAGGGAAAACAAGACAAGGGACTTAAACCAAGTGAGGTGCATCAAGGATGAGAATGGAAATGTTCTTGCTACAGAGAACGCGGTCAAAGACAGATGGAGATGTTATTTTCATAATCTTTTCAATGAAGGACATGAAAGGAGTACTTATTTGGGGGAGTTGAGTAACTCAGAAGAGTGTAGAAACTACTCATTTTACCGCCGAATTAGGAAGGAAGAAGTGGTTGTAACTTTGAAAAAGATGAAGCATAGAAAACAGTGGGCCTAGATGATATACCGATCGAAGTGTGGAAAGTC